AAACTTGTAAAAAAATTAATTTTCATAAAATCCCGCAAAAGTCAAAATTGTGACGTTATACGAAATTAGCCAGAGAATTAGTTGGTTAGTTTACAAACTAGCTAAATCTTGGCTATTTTGTGTTACTAGAAATTTTGGTTTTCATATTAGCCAAATTCAATTGGATAGTATACAAACTATCCAGCTATTTTAGTTTCCCTAATAATTTCAAGTAAATTAGCCAAGATCCTTGGTTATTTTGTAAACTAGCCGCTAATTTAGTTGAAAACACATTTTCAATTAAAATAGCTGACAGTTTGGCTAGTTTATAAAGGGTCATTCCACGTTACTCGGGGATTTTTGTCCCGCCCGTCACAATTAAAAATTGTGAGTAAAAACTACACGTTATAAAATTTATTTAAAAATATTGTTTTATTATGCTTTTAATAAGTTATAAGCACAATAAAAATAATATTATAAAATATTAATTTTAAAACTTGTGGTCTTTACTCACAATTTTTAATTGTGAACGGCGGGACAAAAATTACCGAGTAACGTGGAATGCCCCTAAACTATCCAGCTAGTTTATAATCTATCCAAGTTTGCACATTAGCCGTAACATATACAAAAATAATATATTAATTAATAATTATAACTTACCTTAAGTTAAATTTCGGAGTTCGGACGATTGCAATTATAAAAAGAAATTATAAAATTCACAATAAGTAATACTTTCGACTAGGACTAGGCGGTAATAAAGATTGCGTTGAGCGGCAGCTTTTTCATTCGTAATTCGTAATTCGTCAGCAAAAGATTTGTCGGTACTTATAGCCGCATAAACAAAAACGCCGTAAAAGAGACCGCCGATGTTTTTGAATCTACCTAACTAAAATTATATAGGTATAATATCAATATCGTTATTATACCAATCTAAGCCACTTTTATTTAATATTTAAAACTAAAATTATATAGGTATAATATCAATATCGTTATTATACCAATCTAAGCCACTTTTATTTAATATTTAATTTACTTTATAAAATAGGTATGGCTTTATTTTAAATTTAAATTGAAATGGTTTATAATTTTTTTTCAAGGGCTTTTTTCGGGCCCCATTTTTCTCCGGGCCCAAGGCCCGGGCCTTATGGGCCTTTAGGTAAAATAGGCCCTGTGTGAAACTCCCCGTAGTTTTGCCTAATTCTTCTCCCTAGGTTATCCCACACATGCTCAATGGGATTCAGGTCAGTGGGCCAGTAGCAGGTCGATGGGGCACTAAGTTATGTTCCCTCAGTCTTCTTAGTACAGTATCTGATGAAATGGTTGTACCATGAACATCTTCCAATCTCCTAGACAAGGCTGTAGCAGGAAGTGTCCGGTCTCGCAGAACTTGAAGTCGGTCTTCAACTTCACTTGTTGATCGCGGTCTTCCTTGTCCAGGTAATCTTGAATAGGAACCTGTTTCCCTAAACCTTTGAATTGCATCAGACACTGTACTTCGGGGAATATTTAGTGAGTTGGCAATATAACGTATGCTGCGTCCATCATTGTAAAGTGCAACAGCTTGAGCGGCTTCTTCGGGAGTCATTACAGATTTTTTAAATAAAAATAACTTTTAAAACAAACTTAGAAAAACCGTAAAAGGCCAAAAACAAACAGGAATAAAAATTAATTGAAGAGCTCTTTTAAATAAGTAATGAATTAAAGAGCTCTTCCAAACAATTAAAATGTTAAAGATATAAAAAATGTATAAAACAATGTCATCGTCGTATTTTAAAGCCTAAAAAACTTTAGAATAAATTAATCTTATATTTTTTTATGTGTGTATAGTTGTTACATCAATATACAGGGCGTTTAAGAAATTGTATTAAGGAAAATCAAGTGTCCGGTTAATTTTGCGGTCGAGTGTATATTAGAGTGTCTCAAAAAAACCGACTATTTTTTTTTCTTCAAAGAACATTGAAAATTCGTCAGAGTATCTCTAGAAAATGACCCTGTGAAAGTAAGAGCTCTTAATATTATATTAATATATATTATTTAGATGTGGCGTTTTGTAATTTTCTATTTCCCATTTAAATAACATGGGAAATTTTTATTTTCAAATTTGGAATTTTGTAACGTGATAACGAGCTACTTTATAAGTATGAAGAAATTACTCCTTATAGGAAATTTAATGCTCTACAAAAAAGGTCTGATTGACTTTTTGCGTTAGTCAAGCCGTTTCAAAGATATCGAGCCTCAAACTTCAGAATGTTTAAAATTATGCTTTTTTTTCTTAAATACAAAAAAATGTATTTAAGACCCAAAATTATTAACTTGAGAATAAATATATGCATATATTTGATGGAATGCAGATCTAAAATTCTTAATAATTTGATAAATAATAATTTTTATTGATTTTTAGCAAAAAATATTCACTTACCTAAAAAAATTTGGTAGAAGTTTACTATAAATTTATTTACATTATGTATTAATAATATATTTACTGTTTATATAGTCATGTTAATAGTCCATTTCACTTTATATCAATTTTCTTCTGTTATCTCCTGATTTTTTTGTATTTAAGAAAAAAAAGCATAATTTTAAACATTCTGAAGTTTGAGGCTCGATATCTTTGTAACGGCTTGACTTACGCAAAAAGTCAATCAGACCTTTTTTGTAGAGCATTAAATTTCCTATAAGGAGCAATTTTGTCATACTTATAAAGTAGCTCGTTATCACGTTACAAAATTCCAAATTTGAAAATAAAAATTTCCCATGTTATTTAAATAGGAAATAGAAAATTACAAAATGCTACATCTAAATATTAATATTAAGAGCTCTTACTTTCACAGGGTCATTTTCTAGAGATACTCTGACGAATTTTCAATGTTCTTTGGAAAAAAAAATATAGTCGGTTTTTTTGAGACACTCTAATATGTCCCAGAACTCGCGCCACAGAGAAAAAGGGGGCGTGCCGATAGCAATGGAGATGCCAAATTTAAAAATAAAAAATTTCTAGGTAATAGTGTAATCGGATGAGAGCAAAAAAGCGGCAGCCAATACCGAGACATCTCGCCTAGGTTAAACGTAGGAGCTTTAAAAATTGCTAGGAGACGATAGAACATTGTTGTCTTAAAAACATTTAAAAATCTTTTGGCCAACTGTATTTACTAAGTTGTCAAAAGCTTTTAAAAAATGAGGTTATTAATCTATGACTGATACTTCAGAACGCCAATGTTTTAAAGTAAAAAATCAAACCAGTTGTACTTTATTTAGCTTTTTTTGCGCCCACGCTCCCCATAAATAGGTATCATTTCGGTATAATCATCAAGGAAAACATTATTTATAATAACTTAATTTATTACCTAATACAATATTGCAACCTAAGTATCCTAGCAATTTAAAGAATTCCCTGTGGTGATCTATTGGGATTGGCTATCGTTTTTTATTCTTATCTCCCTTATCCTTTGCGTTGGACAATTTGAATTTTTAAATATGTGTTTCAAATTACTTTCGGTACGTTCCCTTTTTCTCTGTGGCGCGAGTTCTGGGACACCCTGTATATATATATATATACATATATTAGGGTGGTCACGATAGTCCTAAATAGGTTCCAAATATATAAAAAAAATAATGTGCCAAATTGCAGCTCTTAATTTTAAAATTAAGCCGGCCCCCCGACAGCCAAAATTTTAAATGGAAATAACATGGGAAAAGTTCTGTTATTACTTTGGATTTTTTTAAGTCATGAACTAATAAACGGATTATATAGAAGAATAAATATTCTTGTAACAAATTTAACGCTCTACAAAAAAGGTTTCTTGTGATTTTTTGCTTACATAACTTGTTCAAAAGTTATTCGAGGTCAAAATGGAAGTTCTAGTCAATTCCATGGTTTTTCCATTTTTATTGTGGTTTGATGATTCAAAAATATAAAAGGGTTATAATTTATATTTTAGATTTTAATACGCACCTCGGAAAATTCATACAGGGGTATTTTTGTAGGAAATTTAATTTCCTACAAATAATTTGTAGAAAATTAAATTTCCTACAAAAATACCCCTGTATGAATTTTCCGAGGTGCGTATTAAAATCTAAAAAAATATGAAATTTTAATTTTAATTGTATGACTTTTATTAATTATTGTTCTCTGACAATTTTTTTATAACTTTAACTGTTTTGTTGATAATAACAAAAATATAACAATTTTTGAGAAAATTGGGCTTTCGAGATCGACACCGATGAGACAAAAAAATGTTAGTGGGCACTTTTAAAGAGTCATTAATATACTACAAATTCTGACTAATTTTTTTGATAAAAGGAACAAAATTTTCATGTGTCAGCGAAAAAAAATAATGTTCGTTTTAAATGGAGCACCCTAATATATATATATATATATATATATATATATATATATATATATATATATATATATATATAGAGCGTTCGATGTACAAATAATTTAGGCATATCGAGTCCAGTTTTTTATCTCCCAATTTGTAAAATACCCGTTTAACCAATCAAAAAAAATAAATACTGTCAGGGACCGTCCATAAATCTCGTAACGCTAAAAATGTCAAAATTGACCTCTCCCTTCATCGTGACCCAATACGATGTAAAGACCGCCCGAAGGGTTATGTGACGAATTATCAAAATCGAATTTTTTAACTTATTATTTAAAATAAGCAATTTTATTCGATTTACTTTGTCAAATGATGTTTTAATAAACCCTCCTCCCTCGGGCGTGACGGTTCTTTAAACCCACTATCCCTCCCTCCAGCGTCACGAGATTCATGGACGGCCCCTAACCTCACTTTCTACTTTTAATAATTATAATTATTATTTCAATTCTACGTTTAATGTATCGTTTAACAAATAAAATTATGCCTTAAAGATAAAATGTTGAGCTTAGTTCAAAAAGACTTACTTCTCAGCCTTGCGTCATAAATAACTATTATTTATAATTAATAGGTTCAAGATAATAATATGCTTGTCTCTATTTTATATTTAAAAAGATTTTATCACTTCTTGTCTTTTTACAGGATTTACACGGAGTTGATTTGGAGGAATTTAAGTATGGTGGCACAAACATTACCGCTTTTCGTTTGGTGGATCCTGACGGTCCAGAAGTTCGGAGTATAGTCAAAGATTGGAATTTGGGCTCGGTGGATAACAAGAACAAAAAAACTGTCGATATCGCTCCTATATACAGGGTAAAAAGTTTATTTATGGTAGAATTTATAAATTAAATTATTTAATTTAAATAATGTTTTTATATGTTAATTGTTTAATATATTCAGAAAAATGATTTTAATTATTTTTAATGTGATAAAAATTTAAGTTTATTTATTTGCCTTTCAGGCAGCAACGCATTGCAAAGGATCGACGTGATTTTTAACATAAAGATAGTAGAGTAATATATGGGCTACTTTTTTTCGAATTGACTTTATAAATTAACTAGATATTTTCTTTTTTTTTAGTTTTTTTGACTTTTTCCAATTTGTCTTTTTTCATAAACATAATTTTTTTTCATAAAAACTTTTAATTGTTTAAAAATTAGATTTTCATAATAAATTTTTAATTAAGGCTTAGAAATTAACCTTTTAACGGGGTTTTAAGCGTTCCGGTTCCTTTTACTAACCCGGTATGGGGCTATAAAATTATGACAAAATATTAGGTAGGTGTTGCGTCGCCGTCGTTATGTTGACAACGCTTTGTTGCTATGGTATTTTTGGTAATAAAAACATAACAGTTTTTATAAGCTGTCAGAATGTTTATCATAAATTTAAAATTCTTCCTACGTTTTGAAAATGAGTTCTAGCGAAGAAGACCTTCCGCAAGATCTTGCTAAAGAGGCAATAGTTGCAATTAATTTCCTTCCTTAAAAATCGAAAGAGCGATATGAAAATGAATATAGTTTTTTAAAAGAATGGTTGGACAAGCGCGGAGTAAATCTTTTTCCTACACGGAGAGAAATGGATAGTAAACTTTAGATAATAAAAAAATATATAGTAAAATTTACTTTACCCAATTTTTAGGGTAAAAATATTATATATTCGTCAATACAATATTGAGATTGTAATACTAAATACTATTTTTTATTGTTATTTTTATATACAATTTTAGTAAAGATTACAACACCAATATTACTAAATCATAAATGTAAAATATATATTTTAATTTGTAATATGTTCGTATAGTAAATTGATTTTACTATCTACAAATAGTAATATTTACTATATAATTTAATCAAATGTACATCTAATATTATCATATATTACACATTAATAAAAAATATAGCAAAAATAAAGATACTTTTATGTTTAAGGTAAATAAACAATATATTTAAATATAATATACAATATATTAACTCATGACATTTTAAACATTCAATTTTCTTAGTTTCTACAATAAACTTTCTTGACCCATTACTGGTAATACTTATAAGAAAGAATTGAACCTACTTGGTTGCATAGTATGTACCGATTGCGGGCCTTGCCAAGGCCACGTCGCGTCTTTAGACGGTGTGGATCACGTGATGTTCTTACATCTCGCCTCTGTTGGCTTACCAACCATGTTATATAAGCTCAGGTATTTCTTTGTTTTGGGTGTGTTTCACTACTACAAGTTGCTCGACAGTGTCGTGTCGATACTGATGATATATATACCCAATATAGGTCAAAACACCTATCTGTCGGTATTTGAAGTTGATGGAACGCACTCAAAACAAAAAACTTTGCCGAGGTGTAGGTTCAATTCTTTCTCATAACATTTTTGTATATTAAAAAGTACAATAAATATGTTACAATTTTTAATTGTTAACATATAAAAATATTTGATTTTAAAATATTTTATATTTAAAATGGCAACATAATATTTTAAAATTTACTATGCTTATTAGTAATGGAAAAAATTTAATTATAATAAGAATTAAAAACAAAATTAGTTGAGAGTAATAATATTTGACCTTAAGGTTTAACATACATGGATATTTAAAAATTACTAAATATGCATAGTATCTGGCAATATACAAGATAGTTGTCCCAAATAGTAATATAAATTATAGTAAAGGGTATTATGATTATGGGAATCAGCATTATACTTTTCTCTCCGTGTACAAAATAAAATAGGGCTAGACAAGGTACAAAAACTCTTGCTAATGTAAAATTGTTAAAAAAAAGAGGGAGAAATTTTTTTTTCTTACTACCTCGACTCAAAATACGTTGTTTCGTCCCCGATTTCACGGAAGAAAGTTTACGTTTACGGGAGTAAAAATTTTTTAGTCGTGTGCTTAACATTCAAATTTCGTACTGCCAACATGAGAAACACAAAAATATGACAGTTTTAAACCATAATTTTGCAATTATAACAACAAATAAACAATTTATGTTTTTACTTTTTTACTTTTTATGTTGTTTTAAGTGTTTAATGGTACTTTTATTTGTTATAAAGTAGTAATTTGTTAATTAAAATACAACCTTTTATTTTTACTGTATTGGCACCGCTGAATTACCATGACAACGCTACAGTTTGATTGATTTTGAATGTAAACGTCAGAATTAAATTAAACGTCAGATTTTAATTTTGACACAAGTTTTTTTATATACATTTAATTTTTTCCCGTATTTTCTGCGGGGTAGCAAGAAAAATAGTATACACTACACGGGCAGAAAGTGTGAGAGCCCTGAACTGCGCGCCATGATGCCCTCGGCTTCGCCTCGGGCATCATGGCGCGCAGTGCAGGAATCTCACACTTTCTGCCCTTGTAGTGTAATATACTATTTCCTCCCGGGGAGAAAAAGAGGCATTTTCCTCCTTACATACCATGGGAGGAAAATATTGCATTTCCTCCCGCGAATAGTTTGATGCCCGACGCGAAGCGAAGGGCATTAAATATTCAAGGGAGGAAATGCATTTTCCTCCTGAGGTATGTATATAGTTTTTTCTATTACCTTTTAACGGTTTTAAGACATTTTAAGCATTCCGGTTCCTTTTACTTACCCGGTATGAGGCTATAAAATTATGACAAAATGTTAAGTAGGTTTTGCGTCGCCGACGTTACGTTGACAACGCTTTGTTGCTATGGTATTTTTGGTAATACCAACATAACAGTTTTTATAGGCTGTCATAATATTTATCATAAATTCAATAGTTGCAATTAATTTCCTTCCTTAAAAATATAAAAATAGAGAATATGAATATAGTTTGTTAAAAGAATGTTAAAAGAATGGTTGGACAAGCGCGGAGTAAATCTTTTTCCTACAAAATCAAATAAGGCTAGACAAGGTACAAAAACTCTTGCCAATGTAAAATTAAAAAAAAAAGAGGGAGGAATTTTTTTTTCCTCCCTCGCTCGGGGGTGGAAAAATAAGTTTTCTAGTAAGGTAGTAGAAAAATAGCTATTTACATACCATAAGAGGAAAATATTGCATTTCCTCCCGCGAATAGTTTGATGCCCGACGCGAAGCGAAGGGCATTAAATATTCAAGGGAGGAAATGCATTTTCCTCCTGAGGTATGTATATAGTTTTTTCTATTACCTTTTAACGGTTTTAAGACATTTTAAGCGTTCGGTTCCTTTTACTTACCCGGTATGGGGCTATAAAATTATGACAAAATATTAAGTAGGTTTTGCGTCGCCGACGTTATGTTGACAACGCTTTGTTGCTATGGTATTTTTGGTAATACCAACATAACAGTTTTTATAAGCTGTCATAATGTTTATCATAAATTTAATAGTTGCAATTAATTTCCTTCCTTAAAAATCTAAAATAGTGAATATGAATATAGTTTGTTAAAAGAATGTTAAAAGAATGGTTGGACAAGCGCGGGGTAAATCTTTTTACTACAAAATCAAATAAAGCTAGACAAGGTACAAAAACTCTTGCCAATATAAAATTTAAAAAAAAAGAGGGAGGAAGCATTTTCCTCCCTCGCTCGGGGGTGGAAATAGTATATTAAAGTACAAGTTGCAGAAGGCCACATATTCTCGCACGAATTCGAAATTTGGCCTCGAGCGACGAAGGAGCGAGTGGACGAACGAATGAGTGCGAGAATAGCCTTCTGCAACGTGTGATTTATACTATTTTCTCGATTTTAACTTTTATTTAGGTTTTTTTAATTGTTTTGTGGTCGTTGTTAGTTAGGGGATTTTTCTCGCAAAATGTCAGTTGGCAACACAAAATGACAATATTTGTTATCCTGCACAACCTGAACTGCACTTTTACACATTAAACTTAAAATTTTGCATTAAAATGCATTGTTGGAGCAAACTTTATATTACAAAACAATAATAAAGGCTTCATTTTCAATAAAAGTAATGAATTTGAGGTTATTAATCAGTTTGACATTTTGGGGGTACCAATACTTAAAAACTAAATGTTACCAAAAATCGTTTAAGAATGAGCTTCATTCTTCAACGATTTTGCGTGCGAGAATATGACATTCTTACATAAAAATCGAGAAAATAAGTTTTCTAGTAAGGTAGTAGAACAAATCTTTTTTTACTTTCAATTTTATTTTAATGATTATTTTTTTTGACAGTTCTCTGTATTGTTGGGACATTGTTGAGGCATTGTTGTTGAGGGAACCTACAGCGAATTACAGCGATAATTTTTTGAAAATTTTCTCTGGTAGTTGCTATATGGGGCAAAATTTGCCAAGTGTACCAGGTGAAAAAAATGTTGTCACCGATTTTGTTTAAACTTTACTTATTTGTTGTTCTTATAACGAAGAATCATAGCATAAATTTTTTTTGCTCTAGGATTGTTCATTCAAGAGTTATGGATTATTGAAATTTATCGATTTTTTACTTTTTGGTGAAATCGCTTTTTATTTAAAAATTCATAACTTCTGTTCATCTCTTTATTAAATATTTCAATTTAACCACCTTAAATGATTTTTTCCGTACTTTTCAATGGGCTATACCGTTTTTGCAAAAAAATAAAAATTGCAATTTTTTTTGAAATTTTGCAAAATTTTGCATTTTTTGAAACAATGTGTATTTTTTAATTTTTTTTAAAATAGCCTAAAATCCAAGTTTATTATGTTACCTTTGAATAAAAAAAAAATTTAGAGTGGGCCCGACATGTAGAAGGGAAGTTTTTCATATTTGAATGCGTGCGGGTCTAGCCATCGAATAGCTACTACACTGCCTTATGCGTTTAAACCTAGTAGATGCGAGTAAACGAATACAAAATGATAATTTAAAATGT